CAACCCCTCCTCCAATCAGGCCTCGGATCAGCCTGTCACCAGTCCATCAGATTTGCCCATTATATCTGACTATTTCCCATCAGAAACTCAGGTTGAACAGTCTTCCCCATAGCGCATTTGGAGTTTTGCTGTGGCTTCTCCCTTCTACCTGGCCATACCAGCCACCCAGCTCTGTAGTGCAATCCTAGACGGTGAGACCAAAGCTGTCACACTTTGCAGGTGCATCCCTCATGCTGCTCAGGTGGCATGGGTAGGCCCAGGCAAGTCCTTAGGAAACCTGGCTTTCATGCCTGGCTGCCTCCCAGACTCGGTCAGGTCATTGGAACTCCTCTCTGTATGCTAAGGCTACGAACAATGGCCACGTACCTCCTTCCACAGGGCAAGCATGAAAATTAATGACAGAACTCAAAGACCATGAAGGGCTTTTGGCCTCTTGGGAAATAGAACTATAGGTGTTTAAGTGACTGTGATACATGTTTTCTGACAGAAAATATATCTTAATTAGTCTCTGTACTCTCCTGTTACAATATCCAGGGGAAGAAGAACTGGTTGGTTTTTTTCCTCCCCACAAGAAAAAATGCACTGAAAAGAGTCTTTGTGGAATAGAAATGGAATATTCAGGCTGGGCATGGCAGCTCACACTTGTAATCCCAGCACTTTGGGAGGTCAAGGCGGGTGGATCACCAGAGGTCAGGAGTGCGAGACTAGCCTGGTCAACATGGTGAAAACTCATCTCCACTAAAAATACAAAAATTAACTGGGCATGGTGGCATGCACCTGTAGTCACAGCTACTTGGGAGGCTACGGTGGGAGGATCACTTGAACCTGGGAGGTTGAGGCTGCGGTGAGCCAAGATAGCACCATTGCCTGGGTGACAGAGGAAGACTCTGTCTCCAAAAAATGAAAAATAAATAAAAATTTTCAGGCTTCCAGATTCAGGCAGAATGAGCCAGTGGGAATGGGGAGCTCACGCACGGAGACCATGTGAAAATGATGAGCTCCCCAGAGGGATCTTAGGAAGCTGGAGTTTCCTGAGGTACATGGCAAAGGCTTCATAGACAGTGTTACCAAGGTGTTTATAGAGAAATGCTATCACAGGCATGTAAGTCAGCCCAAAGGACCCAGGTAGCATGTGTCCAGCTGTGGATAAATAACAGTGTAAATCCAGGAATTTGAATATACAATGAATAAAATTTTCCTCCATTCTCATCCCTTTTACTTTATTTATTTATTTATTTGAGATGGCGTCTCACTCTGTTACCCAGGCTGGAGTGCAGCAGCACCATCTCAGCTCACTGCAGTCTCTGCCTCCCAGATTCAAGTGATTCTCCTGCCTCAGTCTCACAAGTAGCTGGTATTACAGGCGTGCACCACCGTGTCTGGCTATTTTTTGTATTTTTACTAGAGACAGGGTTTCACCATGTTGGCCGGGGTGGTCTTGAACTCCTGACTTCAAGTGATCCACCCACCTCAGCTTCTCAAAGTGTTGGGATTACAGGCTTGAGCCACCGTGACTGATCTACTTTACTTTTTAAACCTTTGCCTCCAAAACAAAAACATATGGACAAGTCACCCACTCCTTCTTACACACACCTTTCCAGTGGATTAAGTCTACTGAGAATTGTTTTGAGCAAAAGAAAGATCATTCAGCCAGACAGCCAGCCATGGTTTTTCATAGTATGAGACTCATGTTCTTCTAAGGCACTTGTTTGTTATGTTACAGAGAGTTTTGGTTTTGCACAGTACATGGGGAACTCAAGGGCAGATGTGTCTTAGTCATTTTTTAAGACCCACTGGTAGAGTATGTGGCCCATGGTATGTTGTCACCATCTGTTTGTTGAATGAATGAAGAAAAGAATACGTGAATAAATGGAACCTTGGAGGTAGACCTCACAACACATTCTGCTTTGCCTTGTTTAAGACGCCTCACCTAGTCACAGGAGTAAAGGCCCAGTGCATCTGTCTTACTGCTTAAAAACAGGAAGTGCTTTGAATGGATTTAAAAATACCAGAGAGGGAGACAGCAAAGATGTTATTAGAAAAATAAGAATGCCTTTCCTTCAGACTTAGCGGGTGACCCTCTCCTGATTCTAGGATGGATTTTCCCCACTGCATGCATAAATTTCAAGCAGTTTTTCTGACACTTGACCCATGTGCACTTTTATTCTACCCTGTCAGAGGAAGTTGAGGCATTGTCTGAGAAGTTTGTGAAAGGGATCTTTTATGTACAGAGGATTCCATTGTTGGTTGATGATGACTCAGTCTGCAGGGACTGTGGCTAAGTGGGAGCTCCTGGTTTTGAAGTGTCATTACATTCTAGGCCTCTGTTCTCTTTTAAACCTCTGCCATCACTCTGGGTTCCTGAGGCAGTTCTTTGTTCCACCAGAAAGAGACAGAATTCTCAAATGAAGCCTGTGACCAGAGTGAGCCCTGGGTGCCTCTTGCCTGGTTCAATATCATCTTCCCTATTTTTTCCGTCTGGAATTCTCTTCTTTCCTACTTCTATGTTTCTAAACCCTATCCTTCTCCTTCACAGCTCCAGCCATTCCAGCCCACGGGATTTGCTATGCCTTATGAATTATATATTTTTTATTTCAGTGCCATGAGATGTTTGATGGTTTTATTAGAACTCATTTGATTTCCTAAGTAAGTGTTATGAAGGCAAGAACTGTATCTTCCATGGCTGTGGATTTCTCCCAGCAACCCGAGGAAGGCAGTCACTCCTTTTTGGTGTCATTATTAAAAGCATTGAGCAAACTGCCCTCTGGATTAGAGCTCAGGGATCTCTAGAAATCATGATGTGGATTATTGTTTGAGGGCTAGGGCAAGTAGCCAACACTGAGATAAAAGAAACCACATGGAAGGAAGTACAAAATACCAATATCACAAAATACCATCCCACCAATAGAATCTTTTCGTTAACTTGTTTCCAGAAACTCACGTTAAAATTGCACACATACAGGTATGCAGTTGTCCGTCTGTATCCATGGGTTCTACACCTTCTGATTCAACCAATCAAGGACTGGAAATATTCTAAAAAGCAAAACAGGAATGTTTGCATCTGTACTGAATACGTTCAACCTTTTTTTTCCATGTCATTATTCCCTAGACAATATAGAACAAAAACTCTTACACAGCATTTACATTGTATTGGGTGTTACAAGTAATCTGGAAATCATTTAAATCTACAAGAGTATGTGTGCAGGTTATATCCAAATACCACACCATGTTATATAAGGCAGAGGGCCCAACCCCTGGGCCAGAAACCGATACTGGTCTGTGGCCTCTTAGGAACTAGGCCACACAGCAGGAGGTGAGTAGCTGGTGAGTGAGCATTAGCACCTGAGCACTGCCTCTTGTCCTATCGGCTGCAGCAGTAGATTCTTATAGGAGCACAAACCTTACTGTGAACTGCACGTGTAAGGAATCTAGGTTGCATGCTCTTTATGAGACTCTAATGCTTGATGATCTGAGGTGGAACAGTTTCATCCTAAAACCATACCCCCATCTCTGCCCTCACTCCCAGTGTTGAAAAATTGTCTTCCACAAAACCGGTCCCTGGTGCCAAAAAGTTTGGGGACTGCTGATATAAGGGCATGAGCATCTGGATTTTGGTATCCCCAGGGGACTTCTGGAATCAATCCCTCATGGATACTAATATGGTTTGGCTATATCCCCACCCAAATCTCACCTTGAATTGTAGTAATACCCACCTGTTAAGGGCAGGGCCAAGTGGAGATAATTGAATCATGGGGGCAGGTTCTTCCATACTGTTCTTGTGGTAGTGAATAAGTCTCACAAGTTCTGATGGTTTTATAAATGGAAGAACCCCTGCGCAAGCTCTCTTGGCTGCCACCATGTAAGATATGCCTTTGATCCTCCTTTGCCTTCTGCCATGATTGCGAGATCTCCCCAGCCACGTGGAACTGTGAGTCCATTAAACCACTTTCCTTTGTAAATGACCCAGTTTTGGGTATGTCTTTATTAGCAGCATGAGAACAGACAATTAACACAGATACTGAGGGGAAGGTACATATATGTACACAATATGTGCATATATGTGTACATAAACTGATTTACACACATGCTTATATTTACATATCTACATATATACACACATTTACATGCACATATATACATACATACACATTCACACATACACATCTGCATTTACATAAATACACATATGCATAAATGAACTCAACCCTCAGCAGAGGACCTTCCCAGATTAGCTAGGGCCTTCTCTTAAAAAGACCCAGCAAAAAACCAAATTGCTAATGTGGGAGAGCAGGTCAGGACAAGGCCAGAGCCAGAGGTCTGGCTCCAGGAGGATGCAGCCAAATGGTTGCTTTGTCAGATCCCTGGAGGATGAGTTGCTGGGTACCTGGGATCATCAGATTCATGGAGAGGAGAAATAGGGATGTGGTGAAGGTGACTGTATCTGCTTGGGAAGAGTGAACTTCAGTGACTGTGTCTCTGCCTTGCCATTTCTTCAGACAGTCATAACACTGGTTACTTTCAAGGCATTCTAGGGTCCTAAACAAGAGAGTGAGTTTTGACCTTTGCTCATCCAGTCTTTAAGACTCTGTGTTTGGCCCACACACAAAAAGAGTCATGGGCAAGGATTCTAGTCTCATCCTCTCTGCATTTGGGCTTTCTCATCTTTTGTACTTCAGTGTCTTTTTATGGGCTGAAACCAGGGACCCATTTCCATGACACTGTCTGGCCCCAATGGGCTAGGCCTGTGGCAGATTGGAACTGAGGTGCCTTGCATCTGAGTTTTGATTTACTGCATATTTAAATTTCCTTGTTGTCCAAATAAGATAAATACAAATACAGGCAATTGGAATGGCCAAGCAGAAAGGTTCTGGATTCCCCTTTCTGTTTCCTGGAAGCTTACTTAGTTTCCTTTAAGACCCTTTTGCGCTTTATGAAAAGGCATTTGTGCTGTGCCCGTCAATGTAAAAACAGGCACCAGACGTGTGTGTTTTGTTTTCCAGGGAAATGTGCATCGAGCAGGATGGGAGAGTCCATCTCACTGTTGTTTACTTTGGGAAAGAAGAAATAAATGAAGTTAAAGGAATACTTGAAAACACTTCCAAGTAAGTACAATATAGAGCTGTCATAAGGAGTCATAGTAACTGAGCTCAGAAGACACATCCAAGGCTGAAACTTCGGCTTAGTTTAATTTTCCTTTACACTGTGGGTGAACTGGGTTGGATTGGTTGTTGGCTGTGTGCAGGGAAAATCTGCACTCTTCTTCCCCAGAAAACTACCCTATCTGACACTGGTTTTCAATGTGTGGGGGTGATGACTTTGATAGTGGAGATAAACTGCACAGCAAGGGTGAGGGGAGTGTGGGCTTCATTGAGCTTTCACATAACTGGATGTCATCACTTTTAGCACCATAGATGTGGGGACTTCTTTATGTTGCAGCTTAGAAATTAGGGAGAGTACAGCTTTGTAGGGAGCTCCGTCTCAGCCACAGCTTCAGAGACTGAGTGAAGTCTATGCTCAAATCTCATCCACTTAGCAAACAGTCTTTGGGCTTTCATTTGTTATGTGTTTTAAGACATTCAGGGGAAACCAGAAGTGGTGGCCAAGGCAGGATCCTTGATCAAACCTACTCAGTTGATTACAAATTATTTAATGAAAAACTTGAGACCTCCAGTTGTACATTTATACCTAGTTGATCAGTTGCATGGGGAATACATCTATTCAAAAGTAGCATGGATAGATCTTTTTCCCTATCAAAATAAATGAATAGGCTGGGCACCATGGCTCACGTCTGTAATCCCAGCACTTTGGGAGGCCGAGGTGGGTGGATCACATGAGATCAGGAGTTTGAGACCAGCTTGGCGAACATGGCAAAACCCCATCTCTACTAAAAATACAAAAATTAGCCAGGTGTGGTAGCAGGTGCTTGTAATCCCAGCTACTTGGGAGGCTGAAGGAGGAGAGTTTGAATCTGGGAGGCAGTGGTTGCAGTGAGCTGAGATGGCCCTGTGTTGCACTGTAGCCTGGGAGACAAGAGTGAAACTTTGTCTCAAAATGAATGAATGAATGAATGAATGAATGAGTGAATAATCCCCATGGCATCCTCTCCCAGTAAGGAAGACAGAATGGCACTGCACACTGGCCTGTATTTTGCCTTGGAGGTTTACAGGGGGAGATTTCAGTAATCAGGTGGGTAGTTTATATACAAGTAAAGCTTTGAGTATGTCCAGTGTTACTCGGGGGCAGAAATAATCTGAATAGGTCCTTATGATTTAGATATAAATAGTACCCTCTGTTTTTAGTTTCTGGCAAATGGTAATAGGATGATAGTTGAAAGATAAGATTGAGTGTACTTTTTCTTCATTTTTATGCTTTGTTACTAGTTTTGTATTAATGGTCCCAAGATCTGAATGCTAGTTATAATTATGCAAGCATTCTTTTTTAAATTGTACTTTAGATTCTGGGGTCCATGTGCATATCATGCAGGATTGTTGCATAGGTACACACATGGCAATGTGGTTTGCTGCCTCCATCCCCCCGTCACTTACATCTGGTATTTCTCCCCATGTTATCCCTCCCCAACCACTATCCCTCCCCACTCACTATCCCTCCCTTGGCCCTGCTCAGCGGACCCCAGTGTGTGATGCTTCCCTCCCTGTGTCCCTGTGTTCTCATTGTTCACCACCTGCCTGTGAGTGAGAACATTTGGTGTTTGCTTTTCTGTTCTTGTGTCGGCTGGCTGAGAATGATGGTTTCCAGGTTCATCCATGTCCCTACAAAGGACACAAACTCATGATTTTTTATGGCTGCATAGTATTCCATCATGTATATGTGCCACATTTTCCTTTCCAGTCTATTGTCGACGGGCATTTAGGATGGTTCCACGTCTTTGCTATTGTAAACAGTGCTGCTATGAACATACATGTGCATGTGTCTTTATAGTAGAACGATTTATAATCCTTTGGATATATACCCCGTAATGGGATTGCTGGGTCAAATGGAATTTCTATTACTAGGTCCTTAAGGAAGCGCCACACTGTCTTCCACAATGGTTGAACTAGTTTACACTCCCACCAACAGTGTAAAAGTATTCCTATTTCTCCACATCCTTTCCAGCATTTGTTGTCTCCAGAATTTTTAATGATCGCCATTCTAACTGATGTGACATAGTATCTCCATGTGGTTTTGATTTGCATTTCTCTAATAATCAGTGATGATGAGCATTTTTTCCTATGTTTCTTGGCCTCATGTATGTCGTCTTTTGGAAAGTGTTCATGTCCTTTGCCCAATTTTGGATTAATTCATTTGTTTGTTTGTTTGTTTGTTTGTTTTCTTGTAAATCTGTTTTAGTTCTTTGTAGATTCTGGATATTAGCCCTTTGTCAGATGGGTAGATTGCAAAAATTTTATCCCATTCTTTTGGTTGCCGGTTCACTCTAATGATTGTTTGTTTTGCTGTACAGAAGCTCTGGAGTTTATTTAGGTACTATTTGTCTATTTTGGCTTTTGTTGCCAATGCTTTTGGTGTTATAGTCATGAAGTCCTTGCCTATACCTATGTCCTAGATGGTTTTGCCTACATTTTCTTCTAGGGCTTTTATGGTGTTAGGTCTTATGTTTAAGTCTTTAATCCATCTGGAGTTAATTTTAGTGTAAGGTATCAGGAAGGGGTCCAGTTTCTGCTTTCTGCACACTGCTAGCCAGTTTTCCCAACACCATTTATTAAACAGGGAATCCTTCCCCCATTGCTTTTTTTTGTCAGGTTTGTCAAAGATCAGATGTGTGGCATTGCCTCCAAGGCCTCTTTTCTGTTCCATTGGTCTATATCTCTGTTTTGGTACCAGTACCATACTGTTTTGATTACTGTAGCCTTGTTGTATAGTTTGAAGTCCAGTAGTGTGATGCCTCCCGCTTTGTTCTTTTTGCTTAGAATTGACTTGGCTATGCAGGCTCTCTTTTGGTTCCATATGAAGTTTAAGGTGGTTTTTTCCAGTTCTGTGAAGAAGGTCATTGGTAGCTTGATGGGGATAGCATTGAATCTGTAAATTACTTTGGGCAGTATGGCCATTTTCACGATATTGATTCTTCCTAACCATGAACATGGAATGTTTCTCCATCTGTTTGTGTCCTCTCTTATTTCGTTGAGCAATGGTTTGTAGTTCTCCTTGAAGAGGTCCTTTACACCCTTTGTTAGTTGTATTCCTAGGTATTTTATTCTCTATGTAGCGATTGTGAATGGGAGTTCACTGATGATTTGGCTGTCTGTTAGTCTGTTATTGGTGTATAGAAATGTTTGTGATTTCTGCACATTGATTTTGTATCCTGAGACATTGCTGAAGTTGCTTATCAGTTTAAGATTTTGGGCTGAGATGATAGGATCTTCTAAATAGACAATCATGTTGTCTGCTAATAGAGACAATTTGACTTCTTCCTTTCCTAATTGAATACCCTTTCTTTTTTCCTTGCCCAAGTGCTCTGGCTAGGACTTCCGATACTATATTGAATAGGAGTGGTGAGAGAGGGCATCCTTGTCTAGTGCCGGATTTCAAAGGGAATGATTCCAGTTTTTGCCCATTCAGTATGATGAATGGCTGTGGGTTTGTCATAAATAGCTTTTATTATTTTGAGATATGTTCCTTCGATACCTAGTTTATTGAGATTTTATAGCATAAAGGGTTGTTGAATTTTGTTGAAGGCCTTCTCTGCCTCTGTTGAGGTAATCATGTGGTTTTTGTCTTCTGTTCTGTTTATGTGGTGAATTATATTTATAGACTTGCATATGGTGAACCAGCCTTGCATCCCCAGGATGAAGCCTGCTTGATCATGATGGAGAAGCTTTTTGATATGCTGTTGCAATTGTTTGCCCATATTTTATTGAAGATATTTGCATCTATGTTCATCATGGATTTTGGCCTGAAGTTTTCTTCTTTTGTTGAGTCTCTGCACGTTTTTGGTATCAGGATGATGTTGGTCTCATAAAATGATTTGGGATGGATTCTCTCTTTTTGGATTGTTTGAAAAAGTTTCAGAAGGAATGATATCAGCTCCTCTTTGTATGTCTGTTAGAATTCAGCTGTGAATCAATCTGGACCTGGGCGTTTTTTGGTTGGTAGGCTATTAATTGCTGCCTTAACTTCAGCCCTTGTTATTGGTCTGTTCAAGGTTTCAACTTCTTCCTGGTTTAGCCTTGGGAGTGTGCAAGTGTCCAGGAATTTATCCATTTCTTCCAAGTTTACTGGTTTATATGCATAGAGTTGTTTGTAGTAATCTCTGATAGTAGTTTGTATTTCTGTGGAATTGGTGGTGATATCCCCTTTTTCATTTTTTATTGCATCTATTTGATTCTTCTCTATTTTCTTTATTATTAATCTGGTTAGTGGTCTATTTTGTTGATCTTTTCAAAAACAAGCTCTGGATTTATTGATTTTTTTGAAGGGTTTTTTTTTTTTTTTTTTTTTTTTTTTTTTTTTTTTTTTTTTGCTCTATCTCCTTCAGTTCTGCTCTGATCTTAGTTATTTCTGGTCTTCTGCTAGCTTTTGAGTTATTTTGATCTTGCTTCTCTAGGTCTTTCAATTTTGATGAAAGAATGTCAGTTTTAAATCTTTCCTCGGTTCTCTGGTGGGCATTTATTGCTATAAATTTCCCTCTAAACACTGCTTTAAATGTGTCCCAGAGATTCTGGTACACCATGTATTCATTCTTCTTGGTTTCAAAGAACATCTTTATTTCTACGTTCATTTCATGTTTTATCCAGTCAACATTCAGGAGCAGGTTGTTTAGTTTCCATGAAGTTGTGTGATTCTGAGTTAGTTTCTTAATTCTGAGTTCTAATTTGATTGCCCTGTGGTCTGAGAGACTGTTATGATTTCCATTCTTTTACATTTGCTGAGGAGTAATTTACTTCCAATTATGTGGTCAGTTTTAGAGTAGGTGCAATGCAGCACTGAGAGGAATATATTCTGTGGATTTGGGGTGGAGATTTCTGTAGATGTCTATTAGGTCCACTTGGTCCAGTTCTGAGTTCAAGTCTTGAAAATTCTTGAATATCCTTGTTAATTTTCTGTCTCGTTGATCTGTCTAATATTGACAGTGGAGTGGTAAAGTCTC